CCCCGGGGTCCCTTTTTCCCCTCTCCCCCCTCTCCCTCGCCGTCGCCCTCTCGCGCGGCGCCGTCGTGGCGGGTGGCCTCGCGCTCCCGTATGAGGTGGTGGTGCGCCGCGAGCCGCCTGGCGCCCTCCGGGGAGCCCACCGCGTGGGTGTACGCCGCCTCCACGTCGGCCTCGAGCAGCCGCACGTTCGGCACGGCCTCGCGACTCACAATGACCCGCCGCGCGCTCTTCTGCTCGGAGTACCGCACCCCCATCAAAAGGTGCTGGAAGAGGTAGAGGTGCATCCCAAACCCGCCGTTGCGGTGCTTGGTGAGGTAAAGCCCTGTGACCCCGTAGCTCCCGACGAGCACCGACACCACCATCGCCTTCACGACGCACTGCATGGGCTCGTAGAAGAAGGTGAGGAGGTGGCTGCGGCCCGTCCGCCGCCCGATCTCGACCGTGGCCGCCGGCCCGATCAGCGCGGCATCCGGAAAGACATCCAGCAGCCGACGCATCTTCAGCTCACTGAACTGGTCGGTGGAGAGCACGCTGGGGTAGCTCATCCGCGTCACGTCCTCGACATCGAGGCAGACCACCACGTCGTAGAGCGCGTACCGCTGCAGACCGGTCAGCTCCTCGAGCGCGGGGTCCTCAAGAAGTCGCTCGTGGAGGTGGAGCTCGAGCGTCATGCAGGCAATCGAGCCGACGCCGACGGTTTTCGCGGGCGAGAAATCCGGCCGCAAGGTCATCGGATACATCGGAAAGTAGAAAGACACGGCCGCATCCCGATCGTCGTACAGAAGCTCACCAAATAGCTCCTGCTGCTCTGCTAGCAGGGCGGATGGGATTTCGTGGTAGGTCACGTTCACGTTCAACCGCAGCCGCGCCTTGCTTGTGTAGTAGGGCAAAAACAGGCTCGTGAGGTAACCACACAGCTCCTCCTCATCGGCGCACCGGACGATGAAGAAGTATCCGATCTGATTCACCACAGTCCCGATGCCGTAGGCGACGTCGTCCGTTAGCTCCGATTTATTCCGAAGGCCAAAGCGAAAATGAAAGCAGCGGTGGAGGCCGCCGAGGCGATAGGGGCACGCTAGTTTGCTGCCCATCCTCAGCTGCCGCAGGTTCGTGTCTCCGTCGACTGAGCTCACCCGCATCTTCGTTAAGACAAACTTCACGCAACGCAGGCAAAAATCGTGGAGGGTGGGGAACTGCGGCACGATGGGGGCATAATAGGCCGCGACGTACTTCGCCTTCTCCACCCAACATTCGTCGAGCGCGCTCGCGCTCCCAATGCTGGTGCCTATCGCCTTTCGCGGCGTGCGGATCGGCTCCGCCATGTCGGACTGCTTGTTGGGGGTATTCCCGAAAGCGCCTAGCTTCTCCAACCTCTCGTCGCCATCCGTGGGCCCGTCGTCGAGATTCACAGCCTGACTTGGGGTTTTGCTGCGGGTGGGATACCGCGGCCTTCCGTACATCACCGCAGAGAAGTCCGTGTACTGCAAGAAAGGTATGAGAGGGCTGTGCGCGACGTCGGGGTCCATCTCCCGGAGCAGCTCTTGAATTTCGGAAGGGTCGATGAAGGTGGGCTCCCACTGCGGCACCCACTGCACCTGCAGACGTGCCGCCTTGTGCACGAACGACAGCGAAAAGTTCCACTCACGCCGCATGCCTCCTGTCGCAACCGCGTTATCGTTTTGGGCCGCGCAGGGGCTCGAGACGAGGTCCCCAGAGGCGGTTTTTAACGCCTCTCGGTCTAGTCTGATGATGGTAGCGGCCTTGGTGCGCACCTCATCGGCATCTCTCAAGGGAGCACTGCCGGTATCGGCATCGGCATCATTGCTCATGAGGTTGTGGGATTCATGCGGAGATCTAAGGAAACCACACTGCATAGTTGGTGTAACCTCGGACATCATTTTACTCCACCACAAAAAGGGTAGTATGCACAAACACACACGCACGCGCGGCTTGTCGTTATGATCGCCGCCAACTTTTTTCCTAGTTGGTACTTTGATGACTTTTGGTTCTGTTTGATTCTATGGAGAACGCTACCCACACCACCACACCCTATCACAGCTTTTTGTGAGACGTATTTTTTCTTACGTTTCTTTGAATTCTTCAGGAAGGTTAGGGGAGAATGGACAGGGCAAGTAAACATTAAATGAACGCAAAATGCAACGCGTGAACCATAAAAGAAAATGCTTTGGAAAAGCGTTACGTTCTAAACAACTTTGCGCGTCTCGCTTTTTGGTAAGGTTTGATATGGGACCGCTCGACCTATCCATTCGAACAAACACATATATCATCCCCATCGAAGCGTAAGGCAAATAAAGAAAAAGGTGTTTAACAAGATCACATAGACTAGGAGGCGTTAGGTCTTGATTTAGCACATCGGGAAAACACACACTATGGGAGAGAAAATGAAAACGAATAAGGCCTGATTGACAACCTTAATCCAAAGTCTCCCTTCTCTCAGATGTTGGGCATTGAGTAAAAAACTCCACTCGACACACGTCCTAGAGCGCCTTTTCAATAATTAGTCCTGTTCACCATATATATATATATATATATATATATTGCAACAGTGTACCCCTTCAGAAGAAAGGGGCGTCATGTCCTAAACCTTGCCAGCACAACCAGTCTGTACGACTTGCTACCACCTCCCCCCTGTGTTCTCCCATTAAGCGGCAGATGGATGTGTGATGATGACAAAGTATTTTCTTCATTCTTTTGGTGTTTTCAACCATGGGCTACGGAGACGGTGGTGGCGGCTGGATCCCCAAGCACATAGCGCTGCACAAAAAGCGTCACCATGAAGCTTAACACGAAGCACCAATCGTTCAGTCGCTGGTAAAAGTCCATCGGGAAGGGCTCCAGGGCGAGCGCCAACCCCACGCCACCGTCGGTAAGGGCGCTCACAGCATCCCCGGTTACAGACAAAGAGGTTTCTGGGGGCGGCAACGGCAACAAAAGAACGAGCTGCCCGAGGAAGTACACCCCGATCAGCCCAGCAAACACCACCGCCGTGGTATCTGCCGTAACGGAGCGGAACGTCATCGTTAGACGAAACACAATGAGTAGCAGCCCACGCACCGACGAGAGAATCATCCACCCATTCACGAGCACTGCGAAGAGTTGGAGGGTTCGCGTGTGAAAGAACCCTTCAACTCCCAATGGGGAGACGGCCCCACCCTCACGGACTCCGACGTCGAAAAGGGGTGGCGGCGATGGGATGTGGAGCCACCGCAGGAGATCCACCACCTGCGTAAGCGGGTCCTGCGTTGAGAGCGTCGCGCAGCCTACGCGGATCACCGTCAAACTGAGCTTGGTCGCGGCGTACAACCCCAAGACGACGCCACTGAATGCCCAGAACCGCCCCGATGCCGTTTGGCCGTGCTCTGTCGCCTGCAGGATGCCGTCCACCGCCGCCGCACGGAGAAAAAGGAATAGCGAGTGCTGGTGGAAACCGGCGATGAGCCCACGTAAGTCGCCGGCTTCTTCGGTGATCCGCGGATGGCGTCGGACGCGTGAGGCCGCGGCGGAGCGGGTGCCGTCGTCCCTGACGCCTCGAATGGACGCCCACGCCGACAGGAGGAGGCCGGTGAAGAAACCCCTGCGTGGCGGGCCCCTCAGGGATCCCTCCTCCCCCGCACACCATGTATGCGACGGCCCCAAAGGGATTGGTGGTTGGCCGCACGCCTCCCGCTCCACCTCCGCGAGGCGCCGGCGTTTAGAGGCGCACAGCCTCAGGGTATGCCACTGCCGCCGCGCCAAGGCCGCCCGCGCGCTCCGCAGCGTTTCCCCCCGATCGACATCGTAAAGGTGGGTACGGATGAGCTCATAAGGGGTCGAGAAGGCCGCGTAGCCCTCCATC